GCGAGGCGTCAGCGTAGTCTCTCTCTCTCTCTCTCTCTCTCTCTCTCTCTCTCTCTCTCTCTCTCTCTCTCTCTCTCTCTCTCTCTGTCTGTAAGCTAATGACTGAACGCCTCTCAGTCAGAAGCTATATGTGCCAGGATATGCCAGGTGCAAGGTCTCATTTCTCATGAAGGTCAATGTGAACATAAGGGTCAATCCACACACAAAGGTCAATGTGAGTGTGCAGCAGCCATACATCTTGGTGGTGAGGCGCCGTATCCGGATGCGCATCCCGTATCCGGTGACCCCAGGCACCCTCACCTCGCCCTGCCCGTGCCCACGCACACCAACATGCATGTTTGGCAGGTTGAGACGCAATCTCCTGCAGACCCCTGTTGGTGCATGGTGCTCATTGTCTAGGCTTGTCATGGCATGCGTACACAGAGCGCAACTGCACCGGTCTGCCGCTATTGCTCGACCTTCTTGGGCGCGACATGCTCACACAGCGGTCGCAACGCCGCAGGCATGGCGGCATGTGCCACCTTGGCACAGACACACGCTACTGGTGTTTAATTCCAATGAGCAACAATAAACTGATGTCTCGCCTTTCCTAGGGTGATGGCGAGCTCGGATCGCTGCATATGACAGATCGCGTAGCAGGTGACAAAACGGACAAGCTGTTTTGTCTTTGCAAATCGATGTGTTGTGAAAGTAGCAATCAACCACCCGCGCCAGCCCTAACCACACACTCACCGGGCAGCAGAGCTACGGAGAAGCGGGCCACCAGGAGGATGGCCCGCGCCTAGGCCAGACTGTGAAGCTGTGGCTTGCTAGACAAGGCAGAGTGGTCTGCGCCAGGCACGGTTGGGCCATCACACGGGCACTCCGGCATGGAACCCAACAGCAACAGTGACTCGGGCTCTGGCCCGAGCTTGCTGCGGCCCGCGGCGGCATTTGCACTGCTCAGTAACGAGCGGGGCACTGCAGTCGAAGATACTTTCGTCCTGATGGACGATTTGATGCTCGGCGACCTTTCGCAGCCGCAGTGTGCGGCGGGCGTACCCCTGTTTGGAGTGTGAGCTCCCAGCCCTCGTCCTGCGCCCTGAATGCACACCGCTGCGGGCCACCGCAGCGATGTCTTAGGCCCGGTTGCCGCCGCCGTGCCTGACGTTTTGTCCGCGTTGGCTGCCGCGGACTTAGCCCACTGGCCGCACACTGTCCACGCGTGGCCCCGCAGGCCTTGAGCTCCCACCGTGCGCGCCGCCAACCGGGCCCCCCACCCCACGCAGCTACGACGGCCACGGCGGTGGCGCAGCCGCGAAGCACTGCGCGCGGCGCTTGCACCACCTGATTGCTGACCAGCTGCTCGGCGTGATCAAGGCGGCGCCGCCTCCCGACCCCGCGGCCCCCGCCGCCGAGTGCCCCCTAGACGCAGCCGGCGTGAGCGCGGCGCTGCGGGACGCGTTTGTGGCTACCGACGCGGAGCTCAAGGCGAGCGGCGTGCTGGACCACAACAGCGGGTCCACCGCGCTGGTGGCGCTGCTGACGCCAGCGACGATCTGGCTGGCGTGGGCGGGTGGGTGTGGGTTGCGTGGGTGCATGGTGGTCTGGTCTTCGGTGGTGTTTGGCCCGTGTGGGCCGGGTGGCGACCTTCCAGGTGCATCATGAGCTCATGGCGCGGCTGGCTGGCGTCCGTGACCGGTGGACGGTTCGCACAGATCCTGCGGGCCGGGCGCTGCGCCAGAGCTGCGGCAGCCTGCCGGCTGTTGCCTCGTAGCATTCGTGCCAACTGCGCGCCGGCGGCAGCTGCAGCCAACCCAGCGGTGGTTTACTTCGAGTTGCCTGGCGCGGCCTGGGCACCTACCCTCTGCGGCGTGTGTTCCCCTGTCGCCGCCACCTTGCAAATACGCAGGCGACTCGCGTGCGGTGCTAGTGCGTGGAGGCGATGCGGCGGCGTCCACCAGCGACCACCGGCCGGGGCAGCGCGAAGACGAAAAGGTGCGGCGCGGCTGCTGGGGTTTCTCATGCTCACAGAATGTGCCGTTGGGTTGGGGCAAGGGATTGCAGCCGATGGGGCGGCGGCGCATGCGGCAGCTGCAGTCTGCATTCATTCGTTGTGCCATGGTCGGGGCGTTTCCGGGGGGGCGCACAGGCCATGGACGGCTGCGCCTGGGGTTGTGCTGCATGGTATCCCCATGCACGTCTCGCGGCCACGACACCCTGCTGCCCTGCTGCAGAGCCACACCAGCGAGGAGCCCGCACCAAATACCGCCGGCCCGCGCAGCAGCCCAGCAGCGCCGCACCCCGCTGACGGTCCCGCCTGCCCCCGCCCCTGCCTGCTCTCGAGACAGGAGCGCATCGAGCAGGCGGGCGGCATGCTGCTCAACAATGGCGGCCTGCGGCTGATGGGCATGCTGGCCACCACGCGCGCCATAGGGGACCACGACCTGCAGCCCTACGGCCTCACGCCAGTCCCGGAGGTCATGCGCATACCGCGCAGCGTGGAGGACGAGTTCCTGGTGGGCTGGGGGGACTGGGGGGCTG